TAAGAACTTCTATTTGATTTAATATGACACTAGCACTACATAATCTGGATGTCCAAAGCCTCTACCTCTGTTAATAACTTCAGCAAAATTCTAATTGTTTTTAATATTTATAATCTGGGTGTCCAAATCCACTTGAACGGTCGCCCCTGTTATCCGAAGTGCCGCTGTGTTAATAAAAACGTTGAATAGGATAACACCCAACTTTTAAATTAATAAAACATATCTGCTAACCATCAAAGTCTTGATTTATTTTCAAAATTCTTAGTGTATAATTGATCAAATATTTTTTTGTATCGTTGCGTTATCACTTTTCTTTTAACTTTAAATCTATCATTGAAATAGGATATTAATCTTGATATTAATATTTAAGTTAATTCAGAAATAACTCACGTTGGAGTTAATAGTCCATTTTCAACAGAGAATGGTACAGTATCCAAATGTATTGCTTTAACTTGTTCAAACCTAAATAAACATAACCATCCAATAATTAGTATATTTTTAACATACATGTTACAACAAAGTAATAACAAATTAAAGTTAACCCTTTGAGCCCGTTATTTTTTCCATGTTCATTTAAATGTTTCAACAATTCATTGATAATAACTTTATTTCCTGCTAGTGTTTCATAATCCAGATCTCCAACAATCTCATTTGCCCATGGAATAAAATTTATCTTGTTTGGAATAATTATTGCGACTAAAAAGGATTGAAATTCATCACCGTGAATAAAGATTTGGGATATTAAAAGGTCTTTAAGATAGATATTCTCAATCTTATTAAAAAGAAATTTAAAGTTAGGAGCGTTAAAGAAACTGGGTATTATTATGTAAATCTTGTGACAAAAAAATTTATAATATATTTAAAGTGTAGGATTTGAATGTATTTCATATTGTCAAAATGCGTCGCAATAATAATATGAAATTTCGGAAAGTAATTTTATCGTCAAAAAAAAACTATAACATATCGATAATCCCATTACCACCTTTTACTGCAATGGCTCTACATGCGAAAAAAAAAAAATAAGATAATATAAACTGCTTACTTTTTCAGGTGCAATATATTCGCCTTGAGCTAGCTTAAATAGATTTTTAACTCTAGCGATAATTTTTAGACAACCACGGTCATC